TCAGCAGGATGTCTAAGTGAGTTAAAACACCTTCACTTGGTGTAGCTGGTTCTCCTACCTAAAGGGAGCTGTCATGCAAGGTGCAGAAAACATGTAACCTTTAAGTTCTCTCTGATCAAAACCAGTGGGGCTGGACACCAAACTGCCTCCACTGTGTGAAACTGTAACTGCTTTTCAGATAGGCTGCTGCTTTGCTCCTAAAAGTGGCAACCTGGAGTTCAGTGATGAGGCTGGCTTCTTCCCTGCTCCTGGTTATGCTCTTTGCTGCAGGAAGCATTTAGAGGACTGTGTTTCCATGACTCAGCACTGCTGACATGATGCCCCCTAAAATTAGGTTAAGTTCAAATCCCATTCCTCAACCAGAATTTAAACCATTTTTTTCTTTCTTTCTTGACACATTAGCCCTTCCTGCACATAGGACGTACCAAAGGAAGGCAGCAGAGTTATCTTCACAGGTGGGAACCGGTTTGCTTTTTGCCCTAGTAATCATCGTAAACGATAAACAGTAAGAACCAAAACCAACAACTTAGAGTACTAGCTAGTTGTTTCTGTCTTAAAATACTTTTTAACCTGCATAACTATGGTAGAAACATTGCATTTAAAAAAAAAAAAAATCTCTATCACTAACTTATATTTTGCCTTTGTGAACTTGAATTATCACCTACCTTTCTCACCCTTTTTTTTTTAAGCTGTGACATTGCTCCAATTTTTTGCCCCTTTTTTTTAACAGTTTAAATGTCACAGCCAGTAGCTGTGTTACTGCAGCTGAAACTGCAACCCTTATCAGTTCAAGCAGTAACATCAAAAACACAGAGCAGGTCTGCAGAGCCAGGGCAGGGTAGGTACAGCCAATAAATAACCCACCCTCTTTCACAGGAGGGGAGCAGCTTTTTTGGCTACTATTGACTATGCAAATTCTTCCTCCTGCCCCTGGCATGGCAGGAGATACTGCCTCACCCGTCCAAGGAAAGCTCTCATTTGGTAAGGCTGGTTTGGTTTTGTTTTGAATGCAAATCCTGCATAAGAAGCAGTTAAGCAGTGTTTTCAAAAGAATAGTCTTGCTTGGTTGTAGCTTTCCCTCTTTTACAAACGGGGACAAGAGTACTTTTAGTGCAACTTCTGTTTTTAGTGTGGTTACAGTCAGTGTTCAGTCAGGGCACAGGTAGAAAGGATCCAGGTTCACCTCAGTCTTTTTACCACCAATGCAGAAATAAAGCAATTTATTTTTTGATAAAATTGTCATTAGTGCAATACATCTTAAAACAGAAGAATGAAAGTATTTACACATAACTTAAGCAACAAAACCAACTGTGGTCTGAGGTAATTTTAGTATTTTTTAAAGTAAAAATAAGGCAAATTAAAAAAAAAAACCCTTCAGTGTTCTTTATCCAAACAAATCTAAGTAAAAAACTAACGATTGTCTAAACACACAGTTAAAAAGTACAAGCTCAGACATTTCACAGCAGGAAAAAAAAAAATAATTCCAGAGTTACACAATTGTTCTTTCCTTAACTAACATGTAGGTATTTTCAAAAGGCTGACAGACTTCCATTTCTCCTGGCTGAGAGACTCTCAGTGGTTTGCATGTCACTGAGACAGGGAGAACTTTCTTCATCGTGATGAAAGCCATCGTGTGTGCTCAGCAAAGTACCATTTACTGCTGCACCATCTTTCCGCAAAGAGACGGGCAGGTTTGCTAGGGTGAAATTAACATCTTTGAAGGCATGCAATAAAAAGATCCCCACAATAATAGTCAGGAAGCCACTGAAGGTGCCAATAATGTCATCAGCCGCCATGTGTTGCCATTCCTTGAAAAGGATGGCAGAACAAGTTAAAACCGACGTCGTAAAGATTACATAGTATATTGGAGTCACTAACGAAGTGTTGAATATATCCAGAGCCCTGTTTAAATAGTTGATCTGCATGCTGACACAGACAGTAAGACTTAGCAGCAGAATCCAAGACAAGGGATGTTCCAGCACTGGTTTTCCTGCAAAAAGTTCCTTTATGGCGATGCCCAAACCTTTCACGCAGGAGACAGATAATGCTCCAATTACAGAGCAGATTGTTATGTACACAAGAATGTTGGTCTGTCCATGCCGAGGTCCCACCACAAAGATAAGAATCAAAGACACAATGACCACAAGAGTTGCGAAGACCACAAAACCTGTGGTTGGGGGGAGGAAAAAAAGAAATCATTAGTTTTGCACACTATCAAATGTACCTTAGAGGTACTGAGAAAACACTCAAAGATACGATTGGCTCAGCTTAAACAGAAAAGTTCAGGATGTTTCTCATTACTGTTCCAGCATCAAGATTCAGACAATGTTAGAGTGAGCAAGGTACAACAAAGAATGAACCTGCAACATGTTGTATTAGCGTTGGCAGTCTTACCAGCAAGATGGCTACAGGACTAGATTGCTGTATTGCCTGACACTGAGGTGCTGATGACACTGGTTACAGTCGTGCAGCTGAAGGCTGTGTAGGGAGGTACATCTTGGCAGGCTGCTACATTCATCAGCAGATTTCCAATACTTAGGTTGTGCCTTAGGATGAGTTTTTTAATATCTCTGCTGGCTATTTCCCCTTTTTAAAATGGGATTTGCCTTTGCCTATGAAGTATTTTGCAGATGTGTATTCGTGAGTGCCTCATCTTCCGTATCAAGCTCTAGACTCCAGGATTACACTTGCACAGCACCTACTGTTCCATTTTAAGGATAGCTCAGAGTTGAGACTGACAAGATTTCAGTCAACATTCACAGAAGTTGTGTTTATCCAACTGATCTGCTGCATTTGTTTAAACTATCATCTCTGTGGTTCATATCAAAACACTTTGACCAAGGCCAGACAAGTTCACTGGCATCATGCAAAGCTCCCTATGGAATTGTGTCACAGAATTCAGATCTCCATTTTGACAACATGAAACAGACACAGGCTATCTTCTGGAACTTAAAAGCATAACTTAAACTAATATAGTACATTATCATGACAGCATTCTTCTTACCTGGATCACCTAGTTTCTGGGACATTTCATTCAAACTTTCTACTTCCTCCTCTTGTGGAGCATGAATTACCATCACAGTTGATCCCAGTACACTTAGTAAACATCCTATTTTTCCATGTAGATTAAGTTTTTCATTTAAAAAGAAGGACGACAGAATGGCACTAAGAAAAAAAATGCACCAGCAAACATAGATTTAAGAACATCTCATTCATTTGCTCATCAACTTACACATTGCTTTGACTGTACAGGTCGCTTGCATACACAATGTGCAGCTTAAAAATAGCTACATAGTTCATTTTCTATTACAAGATATTTGCTATCGTCAGAACCACCTGTTAATATTTGGCATCTCTCCCCTGAACC